TGACTGGTGGTGCTGGATTTATTGGCTCTCACCTTGTTGACAAATTGATGGAAAATGAGAAGAATGAGGTACAGACTTTTCGGCTTGGTTTTATCGTTTATCTTTGTAACTACTGCATCCTCATAAATCAGCGATGGAGGGTTAAATATGAGTACATTTAAATAAACTTTTTGCATTATGTTCAGGTGGTTGTTGTCGATAATTACTTTACTGGATCAAAGGATAATTTAAAGCAATGGATTGGTCATCCAAGATTTGAGCTAATTCGCCATGGTAACGCATTTTTTTTTTTACGATTCTTGTTTCATCTTTATTTTTCAAGAACCAACTTGTTTACATCATTGTAACATTTTTCTGCTTATGCAGATGTTACTGAGCCATTGTTGATTGAAGTTGACCGAATTTATCACCTTGCTTGCCCTGCTTCCCCGATTTTTTACAAGTATAATCCTGTTAAGGTTAGTAATCAACATTATCATTCTTTTGCATAAGTTTCCTTCGTTTATCTGCGTTTGTCAAACTAGTCGTTCTTGTGAAGTTGATTTCCACAATAGTACTACCATTTACGGTCTCAATCTGTTGGTTTATTTGTAGACAATTAAGACAAATGTACTTGGAACAATGAACATGTTGGGACTTGCCAAGCGAACTGGGGCAAGGTCAGAATCTGCTTTTCTTAAAAATGGTTTTTTGGTAATGTAGATCCTCATTCTCATAATATCTGTTGTGCAAACAGGATTTTACTCACATCGACTTCCGAGGTTTATGGAGATCCACTCGTGCACCCTCAAGACGAAAGCTATTGGGGCAATGTTAACCCAATTGGTATGCTTTTAACTTTATGATCTTACAGTATCAGATTTTTGTTCTAACGCTGAACCATCTTCAGTCGAAAAAGGCAAAAAGGCCTTGAATATCTAAGTTCCAGGTGCCTGAAATCATATATAACAATAAAGGGTTTTCTTATCTATGAGAAACTCATAAGAATATAGTCGAAATGTTGAATGGTATCATTCTCAGTATTTTCTGGATGAATCTTTTCTGCTTTACCAAAAATGATTAATTTTCTTTTTCATTTTTGGCCTGGCAGCCCAAAGTAATTACTGGCGGTAGCCCAAATATATAAAACATATACACTGATTATGTATATGACGTGTATATGTATATATATATATACACACACACACTCTCTCTCTTTATATACAAAACATATATATTTCCCGGCTGTTATTTTTTTGGGCGGCCCAAAAATGTAATTATCCCACGATTATTTACCTTCCACTATAAGGATCTGTGCAAAGATTTCGTATGATAACAATTGCATGCAAATTTCAGGAGTTAGAAGCTGTTATGATGAAGGGAAAAGAGTGGCTGAGACTTTGATGTTTGATTATCACAGACAACATGGAATTGGTAAAACAATGTCTTCCTGTGTGTGCATAAATCTATTTTGCATTTTTTGCTTTGGACTCCAGCTCATGCATTTCTTTCCTTCTCTTTTAACATGATCCGAAAACAGAAATCCGAATTGCTAGAATCTTCAATACTTATGGTCCTCGAATGAATATTGATGATGGTCGTGTTGTCAGCAACTTCATTGCCCAAGCAATTCGGTAATATTCTGAATGTTTCTGTTAATAATTCCCTTCGACTTTTTTACCTAAAATTTGTTTGATAACAACGAACCAACCTAATTTTTGCACTCTGCAGTGATGAAGCGTTGACTGTCCAGTTGCCAGGAACACAAACACGCAGCTTTTGTTACGTCTCTGACATGGTAAGTGAAAATATTTGAGCCATTAAATTTAAAATATTTATTTTCCATTTATATATGAAATCGGTATTCAAAATTGTTGCCTTTTATTTTACCTTTCTCTGAATAGGTTGATGGCCTTATTCGGCTTATGGAGGGAGATAACACTGGACCAATTAACATTGGAAATCCAGGTTCATTTTTTTTAATTTAACTTATATACACTAATGAAGAGGAGCCTTGGAGCAATGTAAAGTTGTCTCCGTGTGACCTATAAGTCATGTGTTCGAGCCGTAGAAGTAGACACTAATGCTTGCATTTGGTTAGGCTGTTTGCATCATATCCTTGGGATGCGGCCCTGCTCTGGACCTTGCATGAATGCAGGATGCTTTATGCACCGTACTGCCCTTTTTTAAAAAAATTATATACATTGACAGTGTAAAAGACTTCTATACTATGATTATATTTTAGCTTCCACACTATCAGTATATTTCAAATTTTTGTAGTAAATTACCTGCCTTATTTTCCAAATTACTATTCCCACTTATCATGGATGATTACTTAAAAAGGTGACCCGATAACATAAAATTCTAGTGTCAGTATATAGAAGTTAAACCCAAACTCAAACATTATATTGCGTTGGTCATTATTAATTTGATTCCTTATCTCAGGTGAATTCACAATGATTGAACTTGCGGAGAATGTGAAGGAGGTAATCATTTTCTTTTCAGTCTTTAAAGGGACATGTTGAAATTTTGCACTGTACAACAACAGCAATTACTACGCCTCAATCCCATACAAACTTGTACTTTGTACTAAGTAGTATTACAATTAGACGTTAGTTGACATAAATTTTGGTGTTCTGTGCAGCTCATCAATCCGGAAGTGAAAATTATCACAGTGGAAAACACTCCAGATGATCCTCGACAGAGAAAACCGGACATCACAAAGGCAAAAGAGTTGCTAGGCTGGGAACCAAAGATCAAGTTGCGCGATGGTATTCCTCTGATGGAGGAAGATTTCCGTGGCAGGCTTGGAATTTCAAGAAAGAAGTAAACAGTTTTATACATGGTTGAAAATGATGGAAAATGAAGAGTTCAAGAATTATAGATGCTTTGCATCTTTTGATTCGTTTTATACAGTTTTCTCAATTTTGTTGTGCTTTTATCTTCTGAATGGAGAATAAACAATGGCCAGCTTGCCTTCTTGCTTTTATTGGTTATATTATACACGTTTTATCATCCAATAGATTTTTGTTCCATATAGCTTTTGCTTGGTATATTGTTGGTTTTCTGTTTCCCCAATGATTTAAAAAGGTCGGCCGGTGCATTAAGCTCTCGCTATGTGCAGGGTCCGGGGAAGTATCGGACATAAAAATAATGCAAACAAACATCAATTTTGATACAAGTTTTGTAATAGTATCAAGGCTGACACTACTTATACAAAATCTGATGTATATCACTGGGCACCACCCAAAGTGCGCTCAAGAAAAAGGACTTATAGCTTGTTTGACCAAGCTCTTATTAAAGTAAAAGTTTAAAAAAAAAAAGGACAGCCGGGTGCATAAAGTATTTCGCCGATGACCTATAGGTCACACATAAACAACTTAAAGTATTTCGCCCGTGACCTATAGGTCACACATAAACAACTTGACAGATGTTCCAAGGAAAGTAAAAGTGCTTATAGAATTTTAAAAAGTAATTATTTTGGATAATTAAAGCTGTATGATCAAGCTTCTAGGTGCTTTTGATTAGTAGTAGAAATTATATTTAAGTTGCGCGGAAAAGGTGGAAAGAAATAGCTGAAGCAAAAGTTTTAAATATTTGGAAATACAAAGATGCCACCGGCAAAAATATATGATTACTAAACTATTCCAACAATATGGACCAAAATACCATGGGCAAAAATATTTGTTTACTCAACTATTCAAACAATATGGACAAAAACTAATCTCATGCATTATTGGCAACACATTTATGACCAACGTCTCAGATACGTGCTTCCTCTCTATTTTGCAGTTTTATCTTTTATGGTTTAGTTAAATGAAATTAATTTTTTTAATTAAACCCTCTCATAATAAATATTTTAATCATTAAGATGAAAGAGTAACTCGAACAACTTTGCAAGTTATCCGTCTAAACCTGGTCTTAATTTGCTGGTAAAACTTCTCTTTCCCTTAAAAAAAAGTTGACATGTTGATACTTTGCCTTGAAACATTTTTTATAATAATCAAAAAATTCCCACATGACAATGGCGCCAGATTTGAAACTCGATGGATGATGAACTTTAACATTCTCATTTAAAACACCAAACTATTTGTCTATGGCTCGTACTCATAATGTGCGTCTAACTCAAACATCATGCATTGCGCTCTTATCACTAGATTAAAGCCCGGAAACGTGCAATGTTGCTACTTAGCCTTGGAACATATAAATTGTAAAGATTAAATGGTGTTAGTTAATACTCCCTCCGATCCTTTTTATTCGTTTAAAATTTTGGCACTATCATTTAATAGTATTAATATAATGAATATTTGACTAAATTATTCCTATCTTCCTTAAATGAGTAATTAATAACCATATGCCCTTTTGGAGTAATAAGAGTGGAATTGAAGAAAAAAAATGCCTTCTTGTTTTTCTAACGTGACAAACATTTTGGACCAATTTTTTAAATTTATTTTTCGGCTAAAGTGATAGATAAAGAGGACCGGAGGAGTAATAGCTATGTTTATGTTTTAAGTCGAGACTGCTATCAAGTTGCTCAACCTTCCTTCTATTCATGGCTCTAGATGAGAAGATTTCTCAAACTTCCTTTTATTACAGCAACAACAATACAAAAACCCAGTGTAATCCCACAAGCGTGGTCTGGGAAGCGTAATGTGTACGCAGACCTTACCCTACCTTGTGAAGATAGATAGATTGTTTCCAATAGACCCTCAACTCAAGGAACAGTGAAAAGGAAGCAACAACAAGGTAATAGGATAACGGAACCGAACAACACGTGTAATAATAAAGATCCAAGAATAAAAAAATACAAGAATAGTACTAATACTAATGGTAAGACTAGGAGAAACTCCCGACTACCTGCCAACCTTCAAACTTCATTTTATTCATGTTCCCAAATCCAAACCATTTAAAGGAATTGAGGTCATGAAATGTCAGCCAGCATACCATGTGAAAATACTGTAATCATCTATTAGTCATTTCTAGGATTCAATAGTTGGTTAAAACTCCAGGCATCAGAGAACTAGCAGTATCACACAAACTATATTTGTGTAAATGAATATATTCTTCATAAAAAAATATTTATGTAAATGAATCTATGTTTTACATTTCAAAGAGGAAGTAAAAAGGCATTAGAAGGACTACAATGAAAAAGAGTTCTAAGCTTCCACAGGACTCTTACTTTTTGGCACCTTCTCTTTTTTAACTTTCTTTGTTGCTGCACCTTTGGTCTCTGCTTCAGTTCCATCTTCTATTCTGGCAAAAATTGGCGTCGGCTGTGCCATTACCTGACCAGCTTTCAGCCCGCCCCATTTGGTCTCACTCTGAAACAAGATACTCAATCACTTCCAAAGACGTTTCGCGGTTTGCTAGAAATTGGAAAAGAAAAAATATAACGAAAGAAAGATCAATGTACCCAGGTAACAGCATTGAATTGGTCCTCAGTGTAGCCAAGTTGTGAATATATCTTCAAGCTTAAGCCTGGTGTAATCGGGGATAGCGCGACTGCTATAATTCTCATTGCTTCCAGTATAATTACAAGATCCTAATAAATTAATTAATAGGGAAGAATAAGCGTCTTAGAATACCATGATGATGACTTTAATGAGTTCAGAACTAAAGTAATTCAAGGAAATAGCTTGAAGAAAATGGACACACTTCTCTTTTCTTTTTTCTTCTGTTTTTCTTCCTTTTCTTTATAACCAAGAAATCACCGAGGACCAGTTGATGCACATTCATGAAATTCGGTGGATAACGGACCCACCCCTTTACCCTTCTCCACTTAGATACCACGCTTTTGTTCACGGCAAGGTTTGAACTCATGACGTGTGTCTAACCCACACATCACACGCTGGACATACTCTTTTACAAACTACTCCCTCCAGAGTAATGAATTGAAGTGCCACGGAAGGAAACTTAGATCTTCTTATGATTATATTCAAGAAAAATTTTATTGCTTCATCTTTTTAACTGACACCAAGATGAACTTCAAGACCAAAAACACTTGGAGAAATACCTTTGCCGCAGTTTCAAAGGCTGTCTCCCCTTTCTTGAAAAGAGACCACGGTGCTTGCTCATCAATGTATGAATTTCCAGCATTACCAATCTCCAGCACAGTCTCACAAGCTGCTGATAACTCCAATTTTTCATAATGCACACGTGCCTTCTCTACCTATAAATAGAAGACATGATATCATCAAACTTAAAGAAAAAGGAGGTCTTTTCTTGTCCGCTGTTTTCGTTTTGCTTCAAATTCAAGGAATAGAAGTCCTAAAGAAGTGCATATATTCGTCTAGGTTCATCAAGATGAACAATGTAATTTAGAGTATCATATACATCTCAATATATGAAAGGAGAGATGTGTTTACCAGTTTTTCCACCGCAACCTTGAATTTGTTTCCTTCTGCCGCAACATATGAATCAACCGCCAGAGTTGATTGGCAGTTCTTTTTCAGAAGTCCAAGTGTGCGGTTTAGAAGATTACCTGCATTGATAATCCTAAGGTCAGACTTAATATCCATGCCTAAGCTCCAAAAAGTGATTTAACCAGAATCAACTGACAATGCATCATATTCAGAATGAATTAAGTACCAATTGTATTAGCTAAATGTGCGTTTATGATGTTGATGAACCGTTCCTCTGAGTAGTCACCATCATTACCAAATTCAACTTCCCTGAGGAAAAAGTACCTCACTGCATCAGGTCCAAACCTCTGAACCAAGTCCGTTGGCTCAAGCGTATTTCCAAGTGACTTACCCATCTTCATGCCATCCTAAAATTTCAAAAATAGAAGCACAGCTACATGAAATCATCAATTGTATAGTCTATAAAATTAATTAGCATAACTTGCATGCTCGCCTATATGTTTTTATCTAAGTTACATAGCTAGAAATAGTAAATCATATGAATGCAATTCTTAAGTTTAACCTTTATGGGGACCAAGTTTATTACATTATGACCAATGTTAATGCAGTCCAGAAAATTATTCACCGGAGAAGACTTTTGCATTTGAACAGAACTTTATCATTCGTAGAAACATTATGCTGCATGCTTCTCCAAAGCTTCATATGAAGGAAGAATCAGAACTATGTCGCAGCAGATATAATATCGGTACAGTAGCAAGAAACTCCTCAAACTTATAAGAACTTCATCTACTGTTTCATCTTCTTTTACTTCTTTTTTTTTTTTTTTTGTGGAGGGGTGGTTCGTGAGGAGATCGAATAGGTAATAATAAACTACAATTCAAACAATGTAGAAGAGCCAGATCTCCGAGGTCAAGACAAAAAAAGAGTTAAAAATAACATAAATACCTTGGTCAAGAATCCGTGGCCAAATACCCTCTTAGGGAGGCCAATTCCTGCTGACAATAACATAGCTGGCCAATAAACAGCATGAAATCGCAATATGTCCTGTCAAAATTATTACGAAGACACATTGATTAAATCAATAAAAAGGAATATGCAAAGGAACTTTAGCTTGCCAAAACTGCTAAGTAATGATAACAAGATACTTTTAGGTCTACCCAAAGAAGCATCCAAAATGAGAACTTTGAACGTAATACAGAAAAAATATTAATGTCAAACATCTGAGTCTCTTCATAGTTAACCGAGGAACAACAACTAACATCAAAGATCGAGAAGATACAAATTGGGATACACCATAAAGAGTTGCACATCTCCATAGCCCTTTAATAGTTGTTCGGAGAGAAACTTGAAATAGCATTAGAACGTAATTTAAATGCCCAACTATGTGCTTAGTCTTCCCCTTTAGTGTGAGTAATCTCCATTTCTGTCAATGCCGACTAGTTTTTGTAAGAGACTACCAAGGAAGTTTATGGAACTAAGATTGTCCAAACAAGATCCATAAACCACTCCCAACCGCCAACCCCCCCAACAAAACCCAACTTCAAACAACAAACACAACACAAATTAAGAATTAGCTCATCCGAAGAAATGTGCCTAAAAGCATGGCATACCTTGCCAATTAAGTGGAGTGAGGCAGGCCATCCAGATGAAATTGCAGTTTCTAAACTAGCTAGCTCGTTATCCTCCAAAAGTGCAGATACATAACTGTTTGACCCAGAAAATGGAAAACAGAGAAGAGAGTGACGAGGGGGATTAAGATAAGAAAGCGGAAGAATGAAACATCATTATCTGGGTACATAACAATGAGATCCCTTTGCTACTATGTTCATAAAACAGATCAATTACTGAAACATGTTGACTAGAGGTACTTTTGACTCAGCACTAACACTATCGAGTAACATATTGAACTGAATCCAAAGATAGACAGAAAATATCACAAGGTCAAACATCTAAATTAGGTGCAAGTGCTAGAGAAATAGATGACTTACCCCAATAAAGCATCAAACCACACATATATAGTCTGCTCAGGATCATTAGGAACAGCGATACCCCAATCTACTGATGCTCGAGAAATAGAGAAATCTTTCAGGCCGCTTTTAATCCAACCTTGGACCTTTAAATAGCCTATATCAGTTATATTTCATATCATTTTGAAACAACATGAATTATGACCAGGGTGTGAATTGAGACAGCAAATAGGACAATATTTCAGAAAGCAGTAGTCACATTTATCAAATGACAATAGAGCATGTGTCTATATTTCTAAGCATTATATTTAGTATTGAGGGATGCTACATAACCTGCCTACAGATTTCTTACAGTTGAAATGAAATTTTTTGCAGGATGAATATCTTTTGGTTCACTGAGTAATAAAATTCATCTCTTTTTTTTCGTGATTAAAAGAAATAACGTAATTCATCTCTAGTGAACCTAGTTTAACTGAACTAATGTCATATCAATCAAAAAAGTGAATCTTCACCTCCAGGTAAATGATGCTTTGGACAGGAAGGCATAGCTAACTATATTCGGCTACTGACCATATCGTTTATGAGAAGTGAGAGCAAATTCCAGGAATGAGATATTCTTCGAACGTAGATATTGTTTACGTATTTCGCCGAAGCCATCTGATATGAATCTCTTCTAGCTTCCTCCAGGTGATATTATGAGCCAATAAGGTACAGATCGTAAAATTCTAAACCAAATTACCTCATTTAGACGATAAGAGGGCTGCACGAAACCAGGGTTTTGCCTTAAAATTTCTTCCAGCTGTTGTTGATACTTTGACAAAGCAAAGAAGTAATTATCTTCTTTTCTTCTCACACATGGCTTTAAGTGCGTAGGACAACAGTTATTATCCAGCAAATCCTTCTCGTCCTGCAACTCTTCCAATGTTACAAATGGACTGCCCAATAATAAACAAATTAGATTTAGCCATGCATAAATGCCATAGCAGCATGTGCTTAGTTGGATATTGCATAATTTGAGTTGTTTGAGTTATAGGGCATTCGTATAATGTCATGAATCCTTTATCTTTTTTCAACTATATACAAACATTGGACTATCTATATACTATTAAATAAGACGCAGCGTTGCAATCAATCACCATGAAATTGCTAGAGAAAGTAAAAGATGGAAAATGATTTCTATTTTATATTATAATCCAAAACTTTATAGTTAAAAGGCACTGACTCAGTGCCGGAAAGAGATGACACTTGTGAGGCTCAGAGCCTGCAGAACATTAAGCCAAGCCTCAATGCACAGTGGAATAGGGCTCAAAGTCACACGGAAGTCATTCAAAACCACGTAGTCAAGGTTACTATCTTCAACCATGAATGAAAATTCATATGAAAGAACCAATGACTCGAATGCCTCGAGCCTAGAGTGACTACTGAGACATGGGAAAACATAGTAAAATTTTATGATCCTGTATAATAGATTACGTGGACAAGCACATCATATGAAGGGAAGGGACAAGTTTTAATTAAAACAATAACAATTGAGTCCTCACCTTGTACTCCTCACAATTGACACAATAAAGTCCCTCATAATCAGCCCTGTATATGTCGCCATTGGCAAGAACCCGAGAGTAAAATTCCTTCACAACAGCTTCATGTTTTGGATCAGTTGTTCTGATAAACTTGTCATAACTTATGTCAAACTGCAGTAACAATTAAATAAATAAAAAGCATTAGCTCGATTGATGAGAGCTCCTATTACATGAGCTAAGGTCTTAATTTTGAACCCTTCTCTGATCTGCCTACCCACCCAATCAAAAAAGAACATTCCTGATAATATCCTTAAGAGCAAAATAGATGAATAAGCACTAGTTTGAAGAATATACATCTTTCCAGAGAGCTTTATAAGCTTGTGATACAACGTCACAGTGTCCACTTGGACTGGAACCATTAGCTGCAGCTGCAGTAGCAATCTTCTCTCCGTGTTCATCTGTGCCAGTGATGAATATAACTTTCTTCTCAAGTAGCCTCTGCAACAAAAGGAACTCTGCAAGCATCAGCCTATAAAAATTTCACACCAGGACATGCGTTAAAGGAGACTCACATTATTATGTCCCTTCCTTCTATTTAAAAGGCTAAAACCATATCTTGTGGCAGTCCATTAATGGAGGCATCTTTTCTTCAAATATTCTATATTTTTGCCTCCTGCACCCGCTCCCTGTTGAGGGAGAGAGGTGTCTGATATAGTTTTTTCAACAACAACAACAACCCACTAAAATCCCACGAGTGGGGTTTGGGGAAGGTAGTGTGTATGCAGACTTTACCCCTATCCCTGGGGGTAGAGAGGTTGTTTCCAATAGACCCTCGGCTCAAGAAGACGAAAAGAGATCAATAGATCAGTAACCGCAACAGAGACCAGAAAGATAACAAGAACCAGAGAGTAGAGGTACTGATAGTTTTTTACCTTCTAATATTTTTTATAAGTGATGTCTTTTGTTCAGGTGCTTCTAGATTTCATACTAGGACACAAAAACAAAATCTGGTAGTAAGCGTAAAGCCTAAACTAGTCCAGGGTCGACACATGAATCCACTTCATTTGCTCATTTCATACTAGGATTACCAATCCAGAATAAATAAATTTGATCCCAGAAGTTAAAAGGGGTCTTAGAGAAATGGATGCAAAAGCAAAATACATTTGACTCTTTTGCAGACTCAAGGATCACAACCACAAGGAAGTTTTACACAAAACTGAAAAAGGAGGCTCCAATTACCATCTACGCCTAACAAACAAAGTATGCGAAAGAGTTCAATCCTCTCAAATTCATATTATAACCGACCACCAAAACATTAGAGATGGCTAAGCTCATCTATGTCATCGCCCCTTCACCCCCACCCCCCCACCCCCACCCTCCCTTTCCAATTGTGATAAGATAATCAGTATAAAAGAGGCTATAACCTTGTATTCCAAAAGAAAAAAACAGAGAATGTACACGAATTCATAGTAGGAACAAAACCGGCTATGAATATGAGATACCCTAAAAAAGTAGTGCAAAGATAATTTCACTCCGTCAAAATTAGATAATCAATCAACTACACCTAGATATCAACCTAGAATAGTTGGGGTCAGCTATATGAATCCTATATTAGATAATCAATCAACTATACCTCAAGCTCAACCTAGTTAGAGTGAACTATATGAATCCTCTATATTGTTCCTCTTTGTTCTCACTCTATTCATTCTAATGCGACTAAACAATTTGTCTTTAACGCAAATTAGACAATTTTTAAAACTAGAGATACACTTCTCCCTGCAGTAACATACAAGTCTATAACCAAACAAAAAAAAAACTCTATAAAATTAAACAAAAAGGTCAAATATTTGAGACCAAGAATTGGAATTTCAAAAGGGTATAACCTGAAAACGGGCAATGGCATCAGCAGCAATGGTGGTATAAGCACTGCCCATATGAGGAGGGGCATTAACGTAATAAAGTGGAGTTGTGAGTACAAATGCATCACTCCCATTTGGAGAGAAACTATCTTTACCATTACTACTGCTGCTGCTACAAGTGCAGTAAAGTGCAGTTCTTGAAGAAGAAGGAGATGAAAACAAAGTTTTGCCAAAGTTAATTCCATTCTTGAAATCAGACTTTCTAATATTAAAAGAATTGCGCAAAGGGGTTGAAGATAAGAAATATAAACTGTTATGAATGGAGTGTTGAACTCTGCACGCCATTTATTAGTCAAATTGAATGACTGAGTGAAGTTTAATGGATATCTATGTTTATGGGGATTTTGAGATTGGCTGTGTATAGGATGAAATTAGACTGGTTTTTATGCTTTCATTTGGGGTATGCTTGAGTTTTTCTGAAAGGTGGAGAGAAATGAGATGAGGAAACTAAGGTTTAAGAATTTAGGGATGGACTCGAGCACTTCCGCACCTTCAATCCTCGACATTAAGGGGGGAAAGAATATTAGTATTAAATTTTATCAACATTAAGTTACATTTGATATTATTTCATTAAATTTTATTTTAAATAAATTGTAATTTTAAATTTTAAAGTTTGTTTAACTATCAACTTTAAATTTTTCATAGAGAAAATTACACATAAGTATAGTCCATACATATTTTAAGTTATTTGACAAATCTATTAAGATTTTAGGACGTAAGTCATTTGAAAAAACATTACTCAACCTAGCCAGTGTATTTTGAAGCTTACATATGATATTATTATTATTTTTTTGCGCAAAGGATAACTAGATTTATTATTAAAGCATAATAGTACAAGCAGTTTGAGGGAGCATATGCATCATTGTAAGGGGCGACCTCTTGATGGGTCATAACAAAAAGGGGTGTTTAGGGAGAAACTACTACCGCTACTCTTGTTGTTGTTGTTGTTGTTGTTGCTACTGCTGCTGCTGCTACTAGGGCCTATATTAGGAGTAGTACATAAAGGATGTTCAAGGAGTTTGCAAACGGTTTGAAGGTGGAAGAGTTGTTAGAGCCAATCTTCTAACAAAAAGCTTGCATGTGGGATCATCCTCCAGTGCTGCTCGAACAAAAGATGTTGTTTATGTATATACAGTGATTCCTGCAGTACTCTCCATTTGGCTACCATACTTTGCAAGTCAGTCAGCGACTTGGTTTTGCTCCTTGTATGTGTGAAGTAGAGTTATATCATCCAAGTGTGTGAATAGGAACCTGCAATCATTTATAATGTTAGTATAAAGCGAATGTGATGTTTGTAGAATATTAATGATTGTCGAGCATCTAAATTCACTTCTTATGGCTTATAACCATGTGTAAAAGCTAACTGCAGGCCATAATAAAGTGCGAATAGTTTTGATTTCACACTCCCACGAGAGATATGGTGACCAGCAAATCCCACAATATAGGGTCCCAATGAATCACGGATTACACCGCCAATTCCGCCTCGTCCTGTTGGTAACTGAGCGGAACCATCAGTGTTTAATTTAAAAGGGTGGGAGCTAGGGGGATGCCATTTGATGTAAAGAGGGATATGGCCGTGGGGGGACGGTGGTGGAGCAGAAATGTAATAGTATTCTGTGGCTATTTTTAAAATATGTGATGAGGATGGGGAGTGTAGTATGGGTGCGGAGTACTTTTTCATTTCGAGATAACCACATATGTCATAAGCAAAAAGGTATCAGGATGGGATTGGGGATATTGAGTGGATTGGGAATATCGTTGTGCAAGATAAATTGTTTCAGCCATTGGATAGGGGGTCCGTATGACTGTTTAGTGTCGTGAGTTCCCGAGTTATGTGAAGGTCAGACCAAAGTTGTAAGGATACTGGGCAGTCAAGGAGGAGGTACGAGATAGTTTTTAAGCCAATCTGACATTGGGCACAAATGTCAGTAGTAAGAAGCCCTATGTGATGATAATGAGCCGCAGTGGGTAACCGATTGTGAGCACATATCCATAAGAAATGCTTTATTTATGAGGTATTTGGAGTTTCTAAATCCAGGTGAATGAGGGAGTAAGGGGTTTAAGGATCAGCTGATGATATAGTGATATAGTGATATAGTAATATAGTGGTGAAGGTGTCATGCCACGTGAGGGCCCAAGCAAAGGTGTCAGGGGATGAGGTGTAAGAAGAAATATGAATATGGCGTATAAGGTAGGTAGAGACAGTGTTAGTCAGTGTGTGGCGTGGTAGAGGTCCAACTAAGGAGTTACAAAGAATTGTATTGCACCCGAGCCAAGGATCTGTCCAAAAATTGACAAGAGAGTCATTGCCAATAAGCTATTGGATGCCTTGTTGGCAAAGTTGCTATCCGGCAAGTATGTTTGACCAAATGAAAGATCTTGCTGTGTTTTGGTGTCTGCGGTGGTGGAAGTATTTATGTAGTAGGGTGGCAGCCCATAAGGAAGATGGTTGTTGAAGTAATCTCCAAACTTGGCTTGCGAGTAAAGTTTGGTTCTTGAGATGAAAGGGGTTGAATGCCTAGGCCACCAAGCTGCTTAGGAGTGGTAATTGTGCTCCATTTGATAAGATGTATTTTTTTCCCGTTGTGGGGTTGTGCCCCAGAGAAAAATGTATTGGTATCACTCGAGATGGTTAATGATGTATTGAGGGAGTTTAATATATTGCATGACATGATTGGGGAGACTGTTAAGAGTGAAGTTAATGAGCGTGGTGCGCCTTGCCAGTGTAAGAAAATTCGTTTTCCAACCAGCGAGCTTAGTTTTAAGATTATCAAGAAGGAATTGAAAATCACTTTTGGAGGGTCTGGGCGTGAACAGGGGAAACCCCCAGGTATTTGCCAAAGGAGGATCCTTCTCGAATGGGGAGGAAAGTGAGGATAAATTTTTTGTCTTGGGGGTACAATTTCTAGTTTTTTTTTTTTGGATAGTTAATCTTTTGTCCAGAAAGATGATTGAATTCATTTAGGATATCAATTATAATGTGGCAACTTTTGGCGGAAGTAGTGGATGTCAGAATAATGTCATGCGAGATAAGCTGATAAGTTGCCATAACTGGTAGTCTACTGTCATATCAATTTTTCTTGTGAATAATTCCATACATAATATAAAAGATATGGGTATAATGGATATCCTTGTCGAAGACCCCGTATGGGATTGAAAAAAGGGGTGCGAGACCCATTAAAAAGGATTGAGGGGGAGGTGGTGGTGACACAAGACATGATGAGTTTGATAAGTGGCGAAGGAAAGTCGAAATGGTGTAGGGCTTGTCGGACAAAGGACTATTCTATACGGTCAAAAGCTTTTTCTAAGTCACGTTTAAGGAGCATATAACTAATTTTGCCCAATTTGCGCTTAAAGTGTGAAAGGATTTCCTGAACATAATTGCATTATCCGCAATGCGACAATTTGGTTGAAATCTCGATTAGGTGGGACTACACATGATATAGTCAAATCATCTGAGTAATTTTTTCTTGTTTTATCCTCTATGTGCCCTAATGTACTTCTATATGGTATGTGGTCATATAAAATAGGGTAAAATATTATAAATATTTCTATAATATCACTCAATTTTAGATATACCCATTATATTCCTAAATCAAACATTTAATACTCGTATACTATAAAAATTCTATACACTCTTATTCCATCATATAATTAATATTTGGATGAAGTTTCCCTTATCCTAATTTTCATTCGCTCATTCTAGACCAAAATCCTATATATTCTTCTTTTGTGGCATATTAAATGTAAAGATCCGGCCGGTAGTTTCATGAGTTATAGGCATGTTTCCCCTATTTCTTCTTCCGTATGTGTTCCTCAGCTGTATTTCATCGTATCGTGTTAGTCGGTTCGGGTTCGGAGTGGTTTTGGAGTGAATTGAGACACTTAATCTCTTTTGAGAAGGCTTAAGTTGGAAAAGCCAACCGGATGTTTACTTATGTGTGAACAATCTCGGATGTGAATTATGATAGTTCGGTTAGCTCCGTTAGGTAATTTTGGACTTGGGAGCGCGATCGGAATGTGATTTTGAGGTCCGTGGTAGAATTAGGCTTGAATTGGCGAAATTTGAAATTTGGCGATTCTCGATCGGCAATGGAAATTTTGTTATCGGGGTCGGAATGAAATTTCGGAAATTGGAGTAGGTCCATATTGTCATTTGTGACGTGTGTGCAAAATTTCAGGTCATTTGAAGGTGATTTGGTAGGTTTCGGCATCGTTTGCGGAATTCGGAAGTTTAGAAGTCCTTAGGCTTGAATCCGAGGGTGATTTGGTGTTTTGATGTTGTTTTGGGTGTTACGAAGATTCGACTAAGTTTGAGTGTTGATATGTGACTTGTTGGTATGTCTGGTAGAGGTCCCGAGGGCCTTGGGTTGATTTCGGGTGGTTGACGGATCAAGGATGGAATTTGGAGGAATGCTGAAGATTTGTTCTCAGCTGTCATAACCGCACATGTGGAATGGGGACAGCAGGTGCGAGGTCCGCAGAAGCGAAAAGGGACCGCAGATGCGGGATTTGGAATCTGAGGTTGGACCACAGGTGCGGAAGGTGGAGCGCACCTGCGAGACCGCATGTGCAGAGATTGGACCGCAGAAGTGGTTTTGGCGATTAAGTGAAAACCGCAAATGCGGTTGTTTGGACCGCAAAAGCAGTTGCGCAGGTGCGAGAAAAGGGCCGCAGGTGCGGAAATGCCTGGGCAGAAGGTATAAATTGGACCCTTCGCGAAATTTGAGTTATTTCCACCATTTTTATTCGGACTTGGAGCTTTTTGGAAGGTTTTGAAGAGGGAATCAAGGGGGTTTACATTGAGGTTAGTTACTTGAGCTTAATACTTGTGATTATGGTAATTTTCAGTTGTTTGAGCATGAAATTAGTAGATATTGGGATGAAATTGAGGGGTTAGGCCTTGAAATTGGAAAGTTTAATTTGGGGATTTGAGGGACCATTTGATGTCCGATTTTGATGAATTTGGTATGTATAGACTCGTGAGTGAAAGGAGTTTCTAGTTTTTGATTTTTGTCGGATTACGAGACGTGGGCCCCGGGGGCGAGTTTGGGTGAATTTCGGGGTTTTGGTCTAAATTGTTAGTCTTTTTGTATAGAATTGGTTCCTTGGCCTATATTGATTGCGTGGTACTGTTTTTGGTTAGATTCGAGACGTTTGGAGGCCGATCCAGAGGCAAAGGCGTCGCGGAGTAGGGATTTAACTGGTTTGAGGTAAGTAATGATTGTAAATCTAATCCTGAGGGTATGGAACCTCGGATTTCACATCGTTTCACTACTTTGAGGTGACGCACATGCCAAGTGACAGGCGTGTGGGCATGCACCGTTGGGGATTGAGATTTGGTCCGTCCCGTAGCAACTATTAAGTTGCATATTTGATTGAAAACTATATGATACTTATGTGTTTAGAAAGAATTCCTATAAATTTGGGCTGAATGCCATATTTGGGCCTCGTGCCAAAGCTGTTTGGACCCTTAGGAGCCTTTTCTTATTATCC